GTACCCTCAGCTGCAAGATTTGGCATGAGCCGCTCATTGTTTGTGCCTCCTTTTGTACCAGCGATCACTCCTTGCCCTTTCCAGCCCATGGGAACCAACTTTTGCCTGGTTCATCCTCGAACCACCCGGTACTGGGCTGAGACTCTGCTTTGATATCACTTGTTACGCCCGACAACTTGCAAGGATCAATGAATGTCCCCACAAACTAACATGAAACTTTTTAACATGCTTTGTCCTCACTTACACACTTCCTAGGAAAACTTTCCAAGAGGTCACTCATATCAGAATTGCTCCAAGTCAAGCACGCTTAACTATGGAGTTCTTCTGTTCACAGCTACCGAAAAGTAGATGTATTTTGTTAGTATATGTAGTATCAATTAATTCTTATAAGTTATCTCCAACTGTACCATCCCACATCAGCACAGTCTCTGAAATCCATCTCATTTGGGTGTTGATTCGATTCATTCATATACCTCCACAGTTGCAAGATTTTGCATGAGCCGCTCATTGTCTGTGTCTTTTTTTGCACCGGCAATCACTCCATGCCCTTGTCAGCCCTTGGGATATTACACTTAGCATGGAAGTGGCACGAAGTAAGACTAGGATCATTATCTCCCAGAAAAAAAATACATCATAGACTTGCTTCAAGAAACATGTATGCTAGGATGCAAACCAGCTGACACCCCTATAGAACCTAACATTAAGTTAAGGATCGAAGATAGGAAGTAAGTGGATAAGGAACAATATCAGTGATTGGTTGGTAAACTGATCCATTTGTCTCATACCCAACCTGACATCGCTTTCCTTGTAAGTATGATCAGCCAATTTATGCACTCACCAAAGGAGAAACATCTTGAGGCAGTCTACAGGTCTTGATGTATATCAAAAATACACCTGGTAGGGACTCTTCTTTAACAAGGGATACAACGGGACGGTTGAAATCTACACTGACGCTGATTGGGCAGGTTCTGCTGTTGATAGAAAATATATTCAGGATATTGCATCTATGTACGGGGTAACCTAGTAACATGGAGAAGTAAAAAAGAAAACTGTTGTTGCAAGGAGTAGTGCCGAAGCAGAATTTAGAGCACTCGCTCATGGAGTCTGTGAAGGAATTTGACTAAGAAGACTTCTTGTAGAATTGAAGATCAGTTATTCTCTACCCATGAGGCTGTATTGTGATAATAAGGCAGTTGTAAGCATTGCTCAGAATCTAGTTCATCACGACTGAACGAAGCATGTTGAAGTCGATCGTCACTTTATCAAAGAAAAATTAGATGATGGAAGTGTGTGTATGACATACATGATACATCCCTACCAAAGAACAAACTGCAAATATCCTCACCAAAAGTCTGCATAGACCATCATTTGAAGATCTGATTGGCAAGTTGAGAATGATCAATATATATCTCCCAACTTGAGGGGGAGTGTAGAAAATCTTTCCGCTTTTATTTCCTATTAGTTAGTGATTGATTTTTTCCTTTAATAGGAATTTGAATTTTGAATTTGCTTCTATAGATAGGATAGGGTTGATGAATCATTGTTGAGTCATTTTTTTTCTTATTACTCTTGTATAAATACTCCCTATTAGTGTAAATCAAATGTATCAATTCTAAAACCCTTTATTTCACATTTCTCAACATGGTATCAAAGCTTCAGTGACCACAAAGTCATGAGTCCGTTCCTCACCTCCACCCACTTTCTAGTGGAATTAAATAAACACAAGGTAAACCAGAAATTGGCCTTGTGCAATATCCACGTTTCAAGCCCAAAGAGCTCTTGCGTGAGAGGGGTGTTAGAGAATAATATAAATAACTAAAAAGGCCCTCATCCAACACCTTAAGGTTTTGGGTTGAATTGATTCTTTATATGTGTAATGTACATATTAAGAGATGTTGAATCAATTTGTGCTTTTGATGCTTCTTGCTATTGCTAAGAATAGATTTGCCTCAACCATTGTTATGTTTAAAAGGTACAGAACCATTAAGCATGGTCTCCGATCTATTGTCATTAGGGGTGTGCAAGAAAACTGGTTCACTTACCTACTCTTGATGTGACCTTGACCTGACTCATAAATACCTATTTTTTTGAACTGGATTTAAATACTGACTCGCTTTTATTTGGGTCAGTTTTAGACCTGACTTATTTAATAATTGACCCATTGACCCAAAACTTGACCCATACACATTATGTGAATAAAAAGAAAACAAAAAATCACAATCTCAGTTCCTGTTTAAATTGTATTTTATTTTTGAAAAACACTGTATTTTATGTATACACACACACAACAAAAAAACCTTCCATATAGTAGACTTCTCTAATAATCATAAACTTATTTTGCAGTCACCAAGGAGAGATTGCTGTAGAGTTCTGCCATCACGTAAGAGCACAACTCTGTACCTGTGGGTAGGCAATTGTAGAGAGGGTGAAGTTACTGAATTGTAGCATGAGAGTCTTGAATCCTTCTATGTCGTTCTTGTTTCTAATGTATTTCAAGACACACAGGAATAAAGAAGTCCAAAAGATGGAAATTGAGCTTCCAACTACATTCTCACTTTGTAGCCTCTAGATGCACCAGAAACCCCACACAATGCTAGTTAAACTGTTATCTTTGACTCTCACAAACCATAAGGTCACAAGCTAATGTTCCGTGATCTACAATATTTCTTTCTCTCTTTCCCTCTATGTAAATTAAACAAAGCATCTTAGCATTTGTAGTTGTCTTGGAATGTATTTTATGAAACATGTTCATTATTGTTTCCCAATGTGACGGAGAACACTAAATTGTCATACTTCCAATGAAATAGAATTTTTTTTTTTCTTTTGGGATACAATGAAAAGAGAATAATAACTTATTCAAATCTAAATTTGTGATATGGATAACTCGTCAAAGTTGATTGAGTTAAATGTGACAAGACCAATATGCAGTGCAGCATTTGTAAAAGAGCATATGGATAAATAAATAAATTACATGAGTTTAAAAATTAAATCAATAACTATAAAAAAAATCAAATTAAAAACAGGTTTTGAAACCAAGTCAGACCCACTTTAAAAATCAAGTCAGGTCAGATCCGATCCAGTTTTGAACTAGTTCAAAAAACTTCAAACCAAGTCAGACCTGACTTGGATCAATTTAAAACGGGTCGGGTCAAAATACTTGATCTATAAAAACCAAGTTGGGTCGGGTCGGCACAAAAACCTGACCCGACCTGACCCATGAACATCCCTAATTGTCATTGGTGACCAATGCTCTCACTATAGAAGATGATGTTCAAAAGGTTGGCTTTATGAAAGAAAAATTTCTAAATTACCTTTGACCGGATCAGGTTGATTATGTAATAAGCTTGACAAAGCCCATCTATGACATGCTTTGTTCTTGTGATACAAACAAGTTAAATCTTCATTTGGTTTATGAGAAATGGGATTCTATGATTAGGCAAGTGAAATCACTAATATATACTAACATGAGGGCAAGGATTGAATCAGCATTCATCCTTTTAAGAAGTAGAATATAACATCCAAATCGATAGATGGATTAAAAATTGCACACCACTTCATTGCTTGGCTCATTCACTTAGTCCTAGTAAATTTAATTAACATGCAATTTCCAATTTGTTGTACTTTTTAAGTTCTAATTAACTTACGCTTATATTTCACACTTTGTATGATAGGTACTATTGTAGGCAATGGCTTGAGGAAGCTCCAAATCAAGTTCCCCCACATAAGGATAACGAGATTGGTATAGGGAGAAACAAATGCCTAAGGAATTACTTTCCGGATCTAAAGGAAAGGCTAGAGGCAACAGCAAAGTTTGTTAAATTCTCAAGTTCTTAAGAAAAGCTTAGCTAATTTGATTCCATGCAAGATAGATGGAATCTGAGAGCAAAGGAATGGTGGGTCATGTATGGTGCTACAGTCCCCAAACTTCAATCCATTGCCTTGAAACTCCTTTCACACCCATACTCTTCCTCTTAATTGTGAGAAAAATTGGAGCACATATTTCCTTATCCACTCCTTGAAAAGAAATAGGCTCAAATCATAAGAGTTGAAGATTTAGTTTTTGTGCATACAAGTCTTCGTCTCCTCTCGAGGAGTATGAGCTATAATGAGGGTGAGACCAAAATATGGGATATGGGTAGAGATGAATGGGGATCCATTTGAAGGGGCCGAGATTCTTAGAAGTTGCTAGTCTTTATCTTAATGAACCAAAATTGAAAGGTGTTATTTTCACTAATGTTGAGCATGGAAATAATGAGATTGACACTAGTATAATTTTCCTAATCATGCTTAAATTTTGTGGTTAAATAATTTAGCATTATAGTTTCTTATTGTGAAAGATGTTTTGTTGTCCAATTGATTAAGTCAAGCTCCATAGAATGAACACTCTTGTGCAATATTTATTAGCATAGCACAGAAAGGTCCCCATAATGAAATTTTATGGCTTCGATTCACTAAATTACGCAGGCCAGAGACTACTTCAGTATTCTTTGACATCACCAACCTTGAGGTCTGCCAAATACTCCTCATTCGTGTTACTAAGCCAAAGACTGCATATCGACTAAGCAATAAAATTGCTGGGAGTTGTCTCAGTTTCTTTCAGTAGCCAAAATACCTGCCTAGAGACAGCACTTCTCAAATTCCAGTTCAGAAACACAAAAGCAGTAAATAAAAACAAGAAAACTGGCGTGCTTTGAAAAACAATGTTGAAGAATAGATTCTCAAATCTTTTGTCATTAAGATTGCTCCAAATGCATTAAAATAAAGTTTTACTTGAGCCTTATGTATAGACCAAACAACTAATTTAACTTACAGGTTCAGCAGTTAAAACACATCGAATATTTGATTGGGCAGAAAAGAGGCTATCAAATTTTTTGAGCATACCTTGCAAGAACATATCGAGGTTTTTCTTCAACTGTATGGCATTGCATAATTTGCATTATAATTTCAACCCTTCATTCCTAAAGTTATCCTCCTTCTAAGGACCCTCCAACTTGAAGAGCCTAAATCATTTCAAAATAATCAGGGACATAGCCTGCTAGCCTCAGTTGCTCATCGAGTTTAACTAGCAACAAGTGAACTTGACCATAAGATGGGTGGTATTTATCAGAAGCTGCAAATAGATGTATTTTCTTATTGATTTCAACCCAGCTAGACCCAGGACATCTCTTTTCTACACCCAGATCCTTCATGGTTGTTCGGATCTTTGCAACCTCACTCCACCTATTTATTTCAGCATACATGTTAACAAGGAGATTGTAATACCCACTGTTCCCTGGCTCCAAAACCATCAGATTCTGAACTGCAATATGAGCTATTTCCAAGTTTCTGTGAAGCTTACACCCATTCAATAAGGCACCCCAAATGAAAGAATTAGGTTCGAATTTCATGCTTGTGATCATCTCTAAAGCATCCTCAAGCAAGCCACCTTTGCTCAATAGGTCAACCATGCATCCATAGTGTTCAACTTGAGGAGTAATACAATAATCTTTGATCATACTCATAAACCTGCAACGGCCCTCTTCTATAAATCCTGCATGGGTGCAAGCAGTTAGGATACTAATGAATGTAACTGCATTTGGTTGGATTCTTTTCCTCTCCATTTCACCAAACATCCTTAACGCTTCTTCCGCATAGCCATGCGTTGCAAGGCCATCAATCATAGAATTCCAACAAAACAGGTTTTTATTTTGCAATTTGTAGAACACCAAAAGGGACCTATCTATGCTCCCACATTTTGCATACATATCAATAAGTGAAGACCCAATATAAACATCAAGTTCAAATCCATTTAGCATCAAATAAAGGTGTACCTCCTTTCCCAAATCAAGCGCTCCAAGATGGGCACAAGCTGAAATGACAGTTGTCATAGTCACTTCATCAGGAACTATTCCTTTGTTGATCATGTCATGAAAAAGTGCAATCACATTACTATATCTTTTGTTCCGAGAATAACATGTCATCATGGTTGTCCATGAAATAATATCTCTGGCAGGCATTTGATTAAACAAAAACTCAACAGATTCAACATTTCCTGATTTTGTATATCCATCAATCATGGCATTCCAAGTAGCAATATTTTTTTCAGGCATTATATCAAACAACATCCCTGCAGAATTCATATCCTCATTCCGAACATGAGCCGAAATCATTGTCGTCCAAGCAAAAACATCTCTTTCAGACATATCATAAAAAACCTTTCTTGAATCACCCATATCACCTAAAGTCGAATAAAACTCAACCAAGGTAGTCTGAACAAACACATGAGAATCAAACCCATGTTTCCAAACATGGCCATGAACAGCTTTGCCAAAAACTGAATTCATCAACAAAGTGCAAGCCTTAATTAAAGACGAAAATGAATAACTAGTAGGCATGACGTTTTTTCTCAGCATCTGCATATAATATACCAATGCTTGGTCTGAATAACAGCAATGAACACAACCTCTAATCAATGCATTATAAACCAAAGCATTAGGATTTTCCATGTGGGCAAAAGCTGAACTTGCCATATCTATGTAAGAAAAGTTTGAGCATGCACTTATAAATTGATTCATCAAGAAACAATCTTGGTTGGCATTAGTCTTGATCATTAGGGCATAGATTGATTCTATTGATTTTGGCCTCAAGCATCCCTTTATCATGCCCAGAATTGTATCTTTGAGACTGTGTGTGTGCATTGCAGTGTTGAACAGTGTGTTTTGGAATTGACAAATGTATAGCTATCATTGCTTCAAACATTTTGCATTATGGGGGTGAATGACATTTACTCACCTAATAAGAACTTAGGAACAAATATGTTCACTTTTTAAAAAAAGTATAACATTTTTCTTTCTTAATGATGGGCTTATTTTTGTTTTTCCTTTTTCTTTGCAAATTACAAAGTATAATATATATATATATATATATATATATATATATATATATATATATATATATAAGAAAAATATTTCTCAAGTCAATTCAGATAACTTTGTTTTCAAACACCTCAAAACTACATCATCTTGGATGTTATGAGAATTAATGAAGGGTGTTTTGAGGTGTTACGAGAATTAATGTATGATATTTTGGTATTATTCATTGTTTATTTATTATATGAATTTTATTAAAACATCTTAATTAGTTTTTCTAACACAAAAAATGACGTAGTTTTGATGTAACAGGAGATAAGGTTATCTCAAATGACTTGACATCTCTATATTTCTCGGGGGTATCCTTAGAATTACCACTGCTTAGCTTTTAATCCGCCTCTGACCATCAAATGAAATGTGAATAACCTGTCCTCTACCGTTTGAAACAAGGGACGCTTCTGGTTCTGTCGGTGCTTGAAACAATTTCGTCTTCTCCATATTACTATATCTCTAGAGTCAATAGTCTTATATGAAGAACTACTGAACTCAATCACTTGCTATCGTTACTCTTCAGTTTTCTGTTGAGGTCTATCCTGTAGAGGTACTCCAATTGGATCAGTGATCGATTTCTAGGTTTCGCCGTAAACCTAATTGGTTACTTCCAATTACGTGAATCAATAGTTCAAATTGCACTCAAAGGTAGGGCATTTCCCATTTTTATAGGAACTTCTGTACCAGAAACAATGGTATCTCCAATGATAGCCCATATGGGGTGTAAAATATATCTTTTCTCACCATACCCATAGTGTATGAGACAAATGTATGCATTTTGATTAGGGTCGTATTCTATAGTTATGATTCTACCATATATGTCTTTTTCATTCTGTCGAAAATCGATTTTACGGTATAGACGCTTATGACCTCCCCCTCTATGTTCAAATGATTTTGTGGATTGGATTTCACTTGACTGTCTACGGCTCCATTGCATGTGCTATTAAGTATTTTTAATGATAAACCCTATATACATATATATATATATGTGTGTGTGTGTATGCGTGCGCGCGGGGGAAATGATTTGTAATGTGACTCAATGGGATAATGAAGAAGCGTTAAGGATCCTTTCATACTTAATGTTTTATATTTATTTCCACTTTTGTATAGTTATACTTCCCCATATTTGATGCTTTCATACTATAAAATGACATAGTTTTATATGACTCCACCAATATAAAAATAAAACTATAATATATATATATATGGGCAAGATCATTTGACATTAGTGTCAAACTTTAAAATTTGACATCAAATCCTAACCGTTGATTTTCGTCAATCAACGGTTATCATTTTTTAAGAATCAAACTCATTAATTAATTATTAATTCCCAATAAATGATAATCGTTGATTTGCGGAAATCAAGTATTAGAATTTGGTGTCAAATTTTAAAGTTTGACATTAATGTTAAGGGGGAGGGTGTTTGGGGATGCTTGTATGGTACTAACATTCTCTAGTTTCTAAACATATTTTAAAATTTAAATAAATTATTTTATTTTATTATCATAAAACTTTCACTAAATCTTTCAATATCTAAAAATATATATTAAAACTTTAAGTTTAGAAAAAAAAATATTTTATTTTATTATATTAAATATAATTTCATCCCTAAAGTTAAGAAAAAAATCTCATGTTAATTAGACCCTCTGCCCAAAAATATTATATTTTTAGGACTAGGTAATGGGTGTTAGTGTAATTAAACGACAATTTTGTATATGTGCCAATACTGCAATTTAGGAAAGCCTTGGAAAAAATAAGATATATAAAAAGTACAAAATTATGTTAGGGTCGGGATTAGCCTACGCCGTTACTATACACCGACTTCTTTCACATCATGTAATGGGAATTGGAAGGTAACATGCTAGGCTGATATCACTAAACCCTCACATGTTTTATTATCTATATGGGAGCGTCAAATATAATTTCATAAAGGGAAAAATATATATTTAATTTTATTTTGAATAATTTTGTCTAGTATTCACTGAAACGATGTTATTTTAGGGTTAAAAAATTAAAAATTAAAGTAATAAAGATTATTATAATACTGAAATAAATTAAAATTACAAATACATCATGATCTCCATACCAAAACGACGTCGTTTCGGTGAACATTATACAAAGTTGTCTAAAATAAATTTGGAAAAAATGAATCTTTTTATTAGGGGTGGTAAACGAATCAAGGGTCTTTGGCCCGGCTTGTGAAGGCCTGACCTTATATGTCTAAAATTAGTTATTGGAACTAGGCTTGAACTTGTATAAAATCTCAAATAATAAAAAGGCCCTAGGCTCCAATTCAAAAAGTTGGCTTTAAAGCTTATGAGGCTGGCCTAGTATACTAATTTTTTTTTTAATTTTTTATACTATTCATAATAGCTCTCTCTCTCCTCAACTCATTTAATCCCATTTTGTTAGTTAAAACGATATTCTGAATGATTTTGTTATATACTATGCTAGAGAATGATTATACTTACAACCTATTTTCCTTTACAATCTCTTTCAACCATATATCTTAACCGTTAATTTCCGCCAATCAACAGTTATTATTTTCGTAATTTAAATTTATTAATTAATTATTAATTCGCAATAAATGATAACCGTTGATTGACGGAAATCAACGGTTAAGATCTGGTTGTAAAAGGTTGTAAAGGAAAATAGATTGCAGGTATGACATTCCTCATTATGCTATATGGATATATATCATATTTATGAATCTTTATGAAATTATTAATGTTGTTGATTGTATATTTGGTTTGGGTAATTTTTTTTAACAGGTAAACTAGACTTTTATTTTTTGTAAATAAATCAGACCACATGCGGATAATTATATTTATAACAGGTAACAGACTAGGTCAGACTGAGACATTTGAATACAGACTTAGCTTTTTAAGATTAAAGTTTGGCTCAGCTCGGCCTGTTAACACCCCCAACTTTTACAAAAGTTGTTATAATACAAAAATATTTTTTATAATGAAGAAAAAAATTAAAAGTCCCCAATAGATTTTTTTTAATATGTATATCAGTTTTTTGGGGTTGTTACATTTATTTTTTAATTATATCTTTATTTTAAATTTTTGTTTATAAATTTTATGATTTATCAAATAATTTACTTTATTAAATAAAAATATTTTTCTTACTTCAAAACTCTAAGAACAATTTTATATCATTATTAAACAATTTTTGCTCATATTTTTTATTTTTTTTAACTTTAACTTAAAAATAATATTTAACTTAAAAATAATAGATTATGATTATAATGTTACATGGAAATTTTGTATTTTCCTGTATAGACAACATATATGTGCCCATCATTTAAAAAAAAAAGTTTGAGACACGGGTTTCGAGGCTTTTTGACCCTTTTGCTCCTCATTAATTAATTAATAACCAATTTGCCCCTCCCCCAGAACTATCCACCATCTTGCCCCCATTTAATCAATCAAGTTGCGTTTGTAGTCGATTAAATTGACAAAATACAGGAAATATGAAACACGCAATTTAATCGACTACAAATTCAACTTAATCGATTAAATTTCTGAGAGATTTAATCGACTAAAATTATTATTTAGTCAATTAAATTGCGCAGGATCAGTTTTTTTTTAAAAAAAAACTATTTCGCAAAGGGGGTTATTTTGAAACCCTAGTCGATTAAAAGCTCCCACCACACCATCTCTTCAACCTCCGACCGAATATTGTGATCCCACCATCTCTAAAGCCCGAATATTGTCAAATCATTGTCATTCCACTTGCTTTCTCATTTGTTGCCCCCAAATCCGAACCCTACTCCCAAATTCGTGTGAAATATGAGCTCAAGTCCAAACATGTATGTTACAATGATCTACTATGATGGAAATCATTATGAAGGCCCCAATGGTGTTCAATTTGAAGGAAAAAGGAAAATGTTGAAAATCAAACGGGGCACTACGTACAATGAGCTGAAGGGGAGAATTCACCAAAAATTGGGGCTACAAGGTAGCCAATGCGTTCAACGGATGATCGCCAGGGTAGAGTCTATAGTTGGTAAGGATGTTATATTCTACATTGGTAATGATATATGTGACGATGAAGATGTGGAATGTGTCATAGATGCAATTGTTGACCGAAAATTTCAAAATTTTATTGAGATATATGTTGAAATAGACTGTGGTCAATCTTCATCTGCACCTATGCATGAAAGAGACATGAGTCAAGAAGAAAGAGTCGTCGGTTTATCTGCACCTGCATGTGTCTTAAGTCAGATAACACTGAGGGAAATAGACGAGGATGGGCATGAGGAGGATGCAGCCATTATAAGTGTGATGCTGGGAAAAAAAACAACACTTAAAACACAAAAGAGGTGCAAACCATTACCTACAATGTTGGTTTCACAAAAGAGGTGCTATCAGACGGCCAAGGGGAGGGGATTCGGTCGGAGGTTGAAGAGATGGTGTGGTGGGAGCTCTTAATCGATTAGGGTTTCAAAATAACCCCCTTTGCGAAATGGAGTTTTTTTTAAAAAAACTGATCCTGCGCAATTTAATCGACTATATAATGATTTTAGTCGATTAAATCTTCCCGAATTTTAATCGATTAAGTTGAATTTGTAGTCGATTAAATTGCGTGTTTCATATTTCCTGTATTTTGTCAATTTAATCGACTACAAACGCAACTTGATCGATTAAATGAGGGCAGGATGGTGGATAGTTCTGGGGGAGGGGCAAATTGGTTATTAATTAATTAATGAGGGGCAAAAGGGTCAAAAAGCCTCG